GTCTGCCCACTTAATGCGCTCCAGTTGCATAACACTAACATAATTACATAACACTATACATAACATAACAACATCACAACAACAAAAAAAGAAACAATTCCAGTGCAACAGGCAGGATCACATTGATTACTTTAAAGGACAGAGTTCAAATACTCCCTGTGGTCCCAAGCAAGTGGGCGGTCCCGAAGAAATTCCAACCACACCCATCTTTGAGGAGTTTAACGCCCTTTTAGGCTTTTCCCAGGTGAGTTTTCTTTATAACTACACTTTAGATGTTCTCCAATAGGGCCTGTGCATCCTTTAGTGCCATTAGTTTTGAAAGAAGCAGACCCTGCTGGGACTGTTGCTTTAAAGGGGCGCATGAATCGTGTGGGAGCACTGTTGACTCGTCCACGCTCGCCGCGGCCACGCCCTAAAGTGTGGATGAAGTCACGGTGCATTGCCACGTAAGCACGAATAATCCCGGAGACAAGCTTCGAAGTATTTGTGTAAAGGATGCTCACTCTAAGCTACTGTAAGTCACACAGTCAGCTGATCAAGGTGAAATGGATACTTACTTACCTGCTAGTTGGGGAAGCAAAGAGCGCCTTGAGGACAGGTGGTTATTTGCCTGTAAAGAGTATTAAAGCTACTTTCGAAACCGCAGGCAGATAAGAATCGAGAGCGTATATAACGAACCTTCTCGGAGCCTGATGTGCTTGCTAGGTGAGCATCGGACATTGCACGAACCATTTTCTTGGATCTTGTTATATAACACACCACTTATTGGCGCGAGGCAATATTTCTAAAAACATCCTCTTGTTTGTGTTTTGTTGCTAGAATTTAATCATAGAGACCACAAACCACAATCGGCATTGTGATCTGTGGTCCCTCTCAATGAACTGGACATAGTTTTCACAGCTTCATAAGGCCGGTGTCAGACTTTGCGAATCCAACGCTGGCGAATCGCGGGTTACGAGCTTTGCACCAGCGCATTGAGCTGTGTACTAGCGAATCGAACGATGTACTATCGATCCGACTGTGTGAAGGTGGCGGGACTCCTTCGCGTTTGCACGATGAATCTCACCTTTTTCCCAAATTCTCCTGCCCTCTCACTCTCTCGTGCCCAGGAAAGGGGCGACAGCCAGCGTTCAGAGAGAACCCCGGCACTTTCAGATAGTGTGAAACTGCTGACACACCGTTCTAACCGCTGATACACAGCTTGATTTGCTGGTGCAACGCCCGTACCCCACGATTCACTTGCGAATCGCTGGATTCGGAAAGTCTGACACCGGCCTGAAGGATTCGTGAAGTTTCATGAAGTAAAATTTCGAACATGAACACGGGAAGCGAATGTGACATGTTTTATTCAGTAATATTTTGAGCGTATATCGGAGAGAGGAGATCAAAGAAAAATTGGAATAAAAAATCCGTTAGTACTAAAAAGAGCTTGACTGGTTTTCCATGTGTAGTAAAGGAGTGAATGGGGCAATGAGGAACAAAACAGAGTCAGCAAAAAAAAAGAATTTTTACAAAAAGAAAAAAAAAGAATTTTTTTCCATGATGATATTGAATAGAGGAGAACTTTAGAATTTGATTGTCCCCTCTGTATTGCTCGGAAAGTCTCTCCAAATCTCAACGTCGACTAAAAATAATAATTTATCAGACAATAAATATGTTTATTGACACTACACCTTTGATTGACTGACATGAATTGATAAAGGTTCGCCATGTTCTGGGAACTTTTGTTTCTCGATATTATTGAAAGTTTCAGATTTGGATCTGAGAACTTCTAGAGTTGCAGCCCGTAGTCATTTCGTAAACTTTCGTTTAACGGATCTTTGTAAGACCAGAGCAGATGATCGTCTGAGAGCGCAATGAGAAATAGAGTCTATGGGGTAAAACATCCCAGTCAGGCTCCAATGACATTCTCCAGATGGCCAAAAACAGCATATATGGTCTAACGAATGCTGGTTAAAGGAAGATCCCAGGATGAGGTTCCAGGTCGAAGAGGGGAGGGGGCGGAGGAGGAGGAGGGAATATGTATACGCAGTGGAAAGACGGACGGCCCTCAAGGGTGCGGGACGATGCAAGTTCTGCAGCCAAGGGGATGCCCCCAGATGCCCCATCGGCCTAGTAGGGTCATACCAACTGCGCTGCAATCCTACCCCTCGCCGTCATACTCTAGCAAAGAGAGCGTTAACGTCGAAGAAGTCAGTACTGATGAGACACGCCAAAGGCGCAAATCAGCGGCAAAGATAGGTCCCTATTCTCAGGTGCTCGGCCGTTTTTCTTGATTTTTTTCATCTATGCATCACTGCCACCTACCACGATCTCTAGTGGGCCGACTTTACATAGTAAACTCAGCCTTCAAAATCCTCAGGAAACAAGGCAAAACCTAACAAAATCAGGTGGCCACGAATAGTTGAATTCAATACCCAGAACCTTTGCGTTTTTTAATGCGGGTAACAAGTATCTAACGCGGGTGTCTTCTACCGTGGATAGCCTACGGGAGCCTTGCCGGCCTTCAAGTGTAGATTCGCCCCTCTAAATTTCACAAGCTATCCTTGCAGTGCTGGTGTACTTGCGAGGTTGTGTCCCAGAACACATCTTTTTCATATCTTGAACTGCATACGCTCTTGTGATACTTAAAAAACATGAGATATCGAACGCGCTTGTTGGTTCTTCACTTTCGCACCAGCTTCAGAAAAGGAGTGGCTTAAAGGCAAAGTTGGGCTCAGACACCTAAGAAGCCCTTACCATGGCTAGAAGTGCTGGGCACGCAAGTGCAAAGGTAGCGCCACCTACATCGAAACGCGTCACTAGGACCCTAGGCGCCATGGACTTCTAACAGACTCCACCAAACTTAACATGGTCCGCCCACCGTTCGATATCTTGTCTGCGTCGCCACGTTGATCTGCTATGCTCTCTTCTCGGACTTCTCTACCACTCTCCGCGCTCACATTATCTCTCATCTCCCTGCCTGTCTTTTGAACTTCTCCACAGCATAGAGCAAAATGCTCGTATTTCCTGTGTATTTCAGGATTTTCTTTCCTTTTTTTCTCCACTGGCGGTCCACCTCCACCCCTACTTTCACATTTGAGTGGAATCACCCCATCAATTTAATCCTGATTCTTGCCTTTAAGAAATGTTGATTCAAAATATAGAAAGGAAAGCGAATATATGCCCCTTCGGAAAATGTACAAAGGAGGCTATATCACTCGCTTGTCAAAAGAAAACAGTTATACGGTTATACGCAATGCATGTCGTATAGTCGAAATTGAGTCATCATGCTGATGATCGCGTAAGACAAAGAAGGGACTGCGCTTGCAGGCCGCGAGGCAAGGCATAACTCCACAGCACTCCAACTTGCGAATCATTTTTTTCCTGCGTGAAGGTTTAGTTCTAGATTGCTCAATCTAACATCTCAGCACAGAAATACGTTGTACAAGGAACAGAAGTTAATGGTACGTGGGTTTTCCCATTTTTTCTTTCTGGATTTTCGACCGCGCCTGCCTCACGCGGCCACAAAAATATTATAGAAATTCGGGCTGTCGTCAAAGCTGAGGAAGAAATCTTTGTAGCATATGGTCAGCACGTCTGCAAGGAAAAACGTGCGGGACCTTTGTTTCGTCCGGGCTGACACTCGGCCGGTTGCGCGGCGTGATGCGCGGCCATCTGGAGTGCTCTGCAGTAGAATTGGATGCGTCAAGAGGCAGTGTAGATTGTGGATAAAGTTTACATGATTCTGCGATTCAAAAAAAAACCTGCCGCGCGGAGACTTGGAGCTGCGATATTGGTGTGGAAATTTCAGCGCAATAGAGGACCTTCATGGAAATGTCACTACTACCATCAAAGCAAATAAGAATCACTAAAACTTGGGAGTTTTGTTGAGATTATTTAAGTCAACTATATATGTTTTGCTGATCGAGGCGCTCATGTTCTCAAGGGGAACATTCAAAACAGGGCCGATGGTAGGTGACACTAGGACTAAGCCCAGGAGAGGGAGGAACGCCAGGAAGAACACAAATTGCCTCTCTCGAAATCCCTTCCCCTCTCTAAGGCTTACTTCAAACACAGTAGTTGGCTCACTCACTCTCTCTCCTCCCCCACCCCCCTCCTCCTCCTTCCGCATGGAACGTTCCCCCAATTATATGAAGGCCCTAATCGCCATAACAGCACTATGCTAGTTCCTTCTTATCTCTTCCTACTGAGGTTTCCTCAACATCACCGCTGTCCTCAAAATTCCACGCGTTGGAATGTAATTCGAATCGCAGAACCTTGCGGATTTTATCCGCAAACCGCAATCTGACAGGTTGAATTCTCGCGAAGCGTCAGCCAGATCAGTCAGATCGCCGCGCGCCAGCCCGGACGAGCCGAAGGCCCGTCGCTCCAAGGAAAGCATACGGGCCTTTCCAAAATTTTGGCGGTGGTAGGTGTTTTTCCAACAGCTCAGCTCCCCACCGAGGTCATCAGAATTGCAAAGAAGTAGAGCTCAAAACATCAATGAATCAAAAGCTGAGTTTCCTGACGATGAAGTGGTCAACATCAAACACAAAGATGCAGCCCAACCCAAGAACTTCACGATCTCCACAAGTTATGGATCCATCTCCTGTAATCAGTTCTTATTCTCCCAGAGGAGTATGATACGGATTAGTTGATCGATCCTAAGGGATGAAAGGTTGGTTGGTCTGAGTGAGTTCGAGATATCACCCTCAAATCATGCTCGCGTTATGTGACACCACTTGCCGCTACCGTACACACGGTTCGTGGGCAGAATGGAAACCACCCCTGCCCTAAACCATCTGCAAGCAAATCTCCTATACGAATGCAGTGCAGAATACCGGCTAAGAAGATAAGGGATAAAAAGTAATGCTAATTAATCGCTTCTTTGAGTTTATCAGTGTGTTTAAAGGACGAATTCACGATTAGAATGAAGTCGGAAGGATTCACCTAGTTGAGGGACCCGCGGACCTCCTAAGGGTGCGGACTGAAGCGCAATTGGCACCGAAGGAGTTGACCTCGGCGACCTATTAAGGCTCAATCTTGGCGCGGTGGGCCAGTGCACGCCCACCGATCATCTGATCACTCGCCGCAGGTCTATACGTGGCGAGTGATTAGATAGGTGAGAGAGCGTAGTGTTGAAGAGGGCACAGCGATGAGAGTCGCATCAATGCTCAAATCAACGGGCAAGGAAGGGGTCCCATTTCTCGGGTTCTGGGCCGTTTCTCATGGTTTTTCCTTCTTTCGTGTACCACTCATCCCTAAGTTAATTTGAAATGGGTTGCCTTTCCAGCGTGAATTCGTTAACCTATAGCATTATTTGGAGAAAAGCGACAGTCCCTCATGCTTTTCATCACACTCAAATCTGTTGCCAACGAAGATTAGATTGAAGGGATGAACTTGGTAATCGTGATGAAATTTGATCCGCATAGTTATGGAAATGACTTACGGGAGGCCCGTTCTCACAAAGAGGAAAAAAGTGAAAGTAATACACAATTTGCGGAACCGTTGAAGCTGTAGATAAATACATGCGAAGGGCTTGTTCTCAGCCTCATTGGTATAGTCGCAGAGTGTCTGTCTTGTAAAAAGAAGGTCTCTGGTTCGATTCCAGCATGGGGCATTCCTTTTGTTTTCATGCTTGCCGTTGTTCACAACTATTCAGCTTATTCATTCAGACTGCGAATTGAAGCATGTTTGAACCTCCTTTACACACAAAGGTTTCGACAGGTCAACAACAACACCCTGGAAAGGTGCAGCTGCTGAAATCTTGTTTCATCTATTTTCTCTACTTATCCCTACAGTTTAATTCATGTAAAATTTGACCCATAGCCAACATCCGTGAAGTAATTATTCATTACATGGTGATTTTTAGCTAATTTTCATGAATAATGCTTGGATGTAGGGCCCAGCTGAAGGTGAGGGAGCAGCGACTGCGGTGGTATGGGCATGTGCTAAGGAGGCCACAAGGCCACCCAATAAGGAATGCGATGGACTTCGAAGTGCAAGGCAAGCGACCGCGAGGAGCCCCAAAGAAGAGGTGGAAGGACGTAATCAAGAAGGACCTAAGTGAAATCACGGCCACAGCAGAAGATGCCCTGGACAGAGCGAAGTGGCGACGACTGATAAAGACAGCGGACCCTGCGACTGCGCGGGACTAACGCTAGGGAGAAGAAGAAGAGATGAGGGAGGTTTCAATAAAATAACCGATATCGTGTTGAGGAAGCAGTTAAGGAGTGGAACTGAAGATTTCAACGCAAACGTGAAGTCAATAAATGAAAAAGTTATTTTCAAAAATAAAATCTTAAACTTGAGGTTTTCAGCGCATGGAATCAACATGGATGAATCTCAGCGAGGTTCTGTCGTTAAATTTGGCAGTTAGGCGAACGACGTGTTGTAAGAAGTGGACTGCTTGAGTCGGAGCAAAGAAATCGTTGAAATTCAGCTTTCACACTACGCATAGATATTCATGTACGTGTGGCACATTCGGTCAGCTTATTGGTACCGCAAATGATTCTACCACAAAAACCACAACTGTAGCATCCATATCGCGCGGAAAACAAGCCTTTTTATGCTGAAGAAGTCTCACAAGCTCGTCGTCACCAACTTGTGCACATTGTGGCATGATCTACGTTTGTTGTGCCAAGTTCAGTGGGGGTCGTATTAGTGACTTCTCCAGAAGGGCATGTTTGAAATTTTGTAGGAGGTCGTTGCGGTAGAAGTTGTCTGGAATACGTATTTAGGAGAAGCGGGTGTTTCTAGGACTGGGGCGTAGTAGGTTCCCATTCCTCGCGTTTTCCTGACTAGGAATGCTCAGGAAAATGCACCAAATGGGTTTTTGGGTGTGTCATCTGGTATCAGGACCAACGCAAAACTGTCAAATGGTGGCAAGGTGTGGTCGAGGTTAGGCTGATAGCAGAGGGAAAAGAGGGGCTTCTCCTAAGGTAATCCTGAATTTTTTTCGAATCGGTATAGCTCACGGTTCAGCCTGCATCTGAGAACAATGCGGTATCCATAAGCACTTCTATGGTTTACAGGTACACTTAAGACGATACTTGAAAAGGTGATTCATTTAATACGCCTCGAAGACAAAATACAGAAGGTCCGGCTATGAAAAGTTATGACGAAACCAGTTTCCTAATTAATGTCGAAAAACCAAGTTCATTTTCTGTAGAAATGCCTTTTTAGGAGTTCAGAGAGACTGGGCGTGGCCAAAAGCCTTATCGTATAGAAGGCGGGCGAATCCGCAGGTAGAAATGCAGAGTGTGGCATGTCACACTGCCGTTATGCACACTATTCTGCTCCATCATAGCAGCAACATTCTGATACGAGCCGTTTTTGGAATTGCTGGGGGAAAGATTATATAATAGTGGCATTGACTTTGATTTTTGAGCATCACCACGTTCCCGGGTTTTTGTTCTTCTTCTGGGCTACGGCATCAGTCGTCGAATTGCTGGTAGAACGATTGCACGTAAATTCTATGAACGCTAATTCTAACGAGAATTCATCAAAGAAGCTCGCGTTTGGAAAAATTAATTCGTCAATTTGTGTAGGCCTGAATGGCCGTTGGAAAAAATCGGCCGTGAACTAGAGGAGAATTTCAAGAAGTAGTCCAATTAGAAGAAACGCCGCTAAAGTTTTTTTTCTAGATCAAGCATGGAGCACTAGCGATGGAGGTATAGGGATGGCTCCGGAAATGATGGGAACCCGAAAAGAAATGACTTCTAACGCTGGGCTCCGAGAATTTAGGCGTTCACAGATACTGTCCTTGTCTGGGAAGGATAAAAACACTGACTTGTACATCGGCTGGCCCCCGCAAGTCATTGTATAGGCCACATCGCATTCAAACGCCACTACGAATGTACAAATGGAAGTAGAATGCGTGCCGCATCCCAAAAAGGGATTGATCAACGGCAAATGCTTTATCCTTTATCCTTCACAGACCCTTGCCAATGTTCCTGGCAAATCTATCCCCATGATTTCGGTGAACTGGATCTATTCAGATGAAAACATGCAATCTGAACATTCGCCCTCCCAACTCCTCGTAGGTGGGATACCACCGTATAGAACACAAAGCCACCAAGGAGCGTCTCACCATACAATGGACGACAATATCCTTGTTATATTCGGTATCGGTAAATTCTTTTTACACTCCGAACAGATCTGTCAAGAAAAGCATTAAATTCACATTAGCTCAAAACTTCTTACTGGATGATTTACTACGTCAAGGGTTGACTCATATCTTATGTCGTGTCTTTAAAAATAGAAAGAAAATGGTTGTAAGTGGTCCATACGTGGTACATCATGAATTGTTGCTTGATAACGTATCTACCCTATGTCCTTTAAGATAGACTTTATGAGAGTAATTATAAGGAAAAGTCGGGTTGAAAGCCCAGAAGTGTGGGTAGTTCTGAGCAGTCGCAGGGCCCGTTAAATTGAGGGCCTTCAGTATTTTTCGAAAATGAGTTCTCGAAGAAACTAGTCAACTTCTGAAAAATATGGCAAGGAGACTACCAAGGACCGTTCCCCCCCCCCCCTTTCCGATGCTTCGATTCGCTGAATTTGCACTGTATTTTTGATTAAACTAAGAATTTGTCGGAAAACAGCGGAAAAGAAAGTGAGATGAAATCAGATCAGGTTTCATTTGTACTGAAATCTCTGAAGCTCGATTAGTTATACGACATTTCGGAATTGGGGAATATACCATGGAAAGCAAGAAAGAAATGGGTAAAAGCTGATGTTAGAAAGACTTCAACCAGAAGTGTGGAGTGACAAGGAAGTTTAACGGACGATAAAGATAAATTCAGATAAAAAGTAGGTTACCTGTTTCGCAACTCAATTAAACATGATGAGTTGCGGAGTAGTAAAATCGTAGAACGCAATGGGTATGCGCCCCACCACACGTCGGCGCCGACACACTAATCAAAAGGCCGCCCTTATGAATCACCGACACTCAACGAGTAATACTGTGAAAAATATCCGATACCGCCAGCTGTACATTTTTCATCATTCCGACAGGCTACAGTGCTTCTTTTACTGGCTATGTGTGAAAAATCCGGCGAAACCAGTAATATTTGAACCATAAAAAATTAAATTTGAGATGAACTGCCTTGTTAGCGTTGTGAATCATCGGCTCAGCTCAAGACGAAACGAGTTCCATGAAAAGACTTTTTTATACCATGTGTAACTTCTAATTAAAACTGAGCTCGGGATGGTGTTCCAAAGAGTACGAGTATCAACGCTGTAGTACAGCTTCATTTTTATTTTCTTACAAATTATTTACCAGTGTTTTCCGAGGTTACCTCAGCAAAATCCATATTGCCGATGTGTTTGCCGTTTTGAGAAATCCATAGAAATGGAGTTCGGTGTTTGTCGTGGAAGTGTGTTCGTAATAAGGTCGACAATGGTGAGAAGGGTGGTCGCGGAACGATTCCGAAGGTCATTTCACTCAAATAAACACTGCTCAATCGATTCCAGAGCTAGATTTCAGGGTACATAGGGATAAAAAGGGATTATAAATTTAAGCTAAATAAAGTGTGGCAGATATTGTTCGGAAACCGGAACAGATAAAAAATAACAACTTTCAATAATGATACAATATTTTGCCGGTTTTAGAATGGTTAGGTTCATTTTTAGGGCTCAAACAGCATTCCATGTCAAAAGTATTCTTGAGAATTGCTAATCGCTTGATAGAATTACTTTTCGCCTTACCGTGCAAATTATTTGTTTTTTGTGTGTTGAAAAAAAAACACACACATTGCCTCTTAACTCTTGAAGTGCTGTCGCAGTGTTGAAGGGGCTAAGTGAGTAATTGACTTACTTTTCAGGTCCACTAGGCATTGGCGCTAGGACTGAAAAACAAAGCAGGAACTATTAGAATTGGAATATTTGAGGGCATCCTCCTGCCTGACGTTGATTGCTGATTTTGCCCTAATTCAAAACATTTATCTGACAATGACGACAAATTGCTTTTAATCTATTTCTCGATGTGAGCGCGGCAGACGGTCGTGTCGGGGCATTAATGTTAGAGCTAGGGACATTAACGTTAATTATTCTGTACTTGAAAAATTTAATCAAAATGCGAATAGTGTTGAGGGTGGAGCATTTTCAAAAACCATTACTTCACATTTGGGTGTATTTCTCGCGAGATCGATCCTAACTCAGGATTTGTGAACCTTTTTGTAAAAGTGTTCTCTCTGACCTTTTGGGGGAGTGGGAATGCGGATCCCAACACTTTTCACAAAACGTACAACCGAAGGATATTAGATGGAAATAGGCATTCGTCAAAGAATGAATAGGGGGGGGGGGGAAAGAATGCGTTCTCCCAGACACACATTTAAAACGGAATTAGGTGCACTATGTAAATTCAACATAAGGATAAAGCATTTGCCGTTGATCAATCCCTTTTTGGGATGCGGCACGCATTCTACTTCCATTTGTACATTCGTAGTGGCGTTTGAATGCGATGTGGCCTATACAATGACTTGCGGGGGCCAGCCGATGTACAAGTCAGTGTTTTTATCCTCCCAGACAAGTCTGGTACCAATTAACCGACCCCGGAGGGATGGAAGGCTTGGTTGGCCCGGGCGACTCACGACCCAGGATTTGATCCCCGGACCGCTC